TCGTCGGACCCCGTCGTGACCTTCGAGCTGCCCGGCGCGGAGACGCAGACGTCGACGTGCAAGGCCAGGTGCCTCGCGCCGCGCTGGCGCGAAGATTTCGCCCTACCGGCCGACGACGCCGCGGGCGAGGCGCTCGTCGTGAGCGTCTTCGACCAGGACCTCGCCTCGGGCAACGACTTCATGGGCGCCGTCGAGGTGCCGCTCGCGGCGCTCGGCGACCGCCAAGTCCACCGCGCGTGGCACCCGCTGCGCTCCAAGGCCGGCGAGGCGGCGCCGGGCGCCGTGGAGCTCTGCCTCCGCCTCTATTACGACCCGGCGCGCGCGCTGCCCCTGCCCGCGTCCTTTCGCGCGCCGGAGGCGCACCCCGGGCAGCCCCCGAACTGCGTGACCGTCCACCTGCTGCGGGCGAAACATCTGCCGGTCATGGACAAGAACCTCCTCTCGAAGGGCGGCTCGTCGGACCCCGTCGTCACGCTCGAGGTCGCGGGGTCCGTGGCGACGTCGACGACGAAGCGCAAGCAGCTCGACCCCGTCTGGGAGGAGACGTTCAAGATGCCCCTCGACGCGGGCGACCGCCTCGAGGTGACCGTCGAGGACGCGGACGTCGCGTCCGGCAACGACTTCATGGGCGCGTTCAAAGTCGACTCGGCCGAGCTCGCCGACGGCGCGACCCTGCGGGCCTGGCGGCCGCTCGTCGACGCCTTCGGCGACGCCGTCGGCGCCGCGCGCGTCGAGGTCGCGCTGCGGTGGACGCACGACCCGGCGATGGCCCTCGCGCCGCCGCCGGCCTTCGACGCGCCGCCCGCGCGGGGCCCGCCGCCGAACACGGTCCACGTGTTCCTCGCGCGCTGCAAGGGCCTGCCGGCGGAGACGGCGAGCGGGAAGGCGCGGAGGGCGACGGTCGCGTCCGCGAAGGTCGGCATGCTGGAGAAGCGGACGGAGGCAATCGCGGACGCGCGGCGGCCCGCCTTCGGCGCTTTCTTCGCCTTCCCGCTCCGCGGCGACGCCGTCGAGGTCGCCGTCGGCGATCCCAAAGCGCCGGACGCGCTCGGCGGCGCGAGCCTGCCGCTCGACGACTTGGGAGACGGGCTCGCGCACCGCGCGTGGCGCGCGCTGAGCGGCGGCCGGGGCGCCGTCGACGTCGCCTGCCGCCTCGTCTTCGACGCGGCCAACGTCGCGCCCCTGCCGAGCGACTTCGCCTGCGACGGCGCGCCGAACGGGCTACGGGTGGCGATCGTCGACGGCGCCGTCAAGGGCGACCGCGACCTCCGGCTGCGCGTCACGCTCCTCGACTTCTTCGACGGCGACGGGCGGCCCGTCGTCCCCGCGGAGGCGGCGCGCGACGCGCCGCACCGGTCCCTCTTCCGCCCCCTGCCCGAGGGCGCGGTCGCCGCGGAGGTCGCGTGCGACATCGTCAGCCGCAAGGGCCTCGTCCGCGGCGCGTTCTCGGTCACCTGCGACGCGGCGGCGCCGACGCGCGTCTGGCACGCGTCGGGCGTCGAGATCGCCCACGCGCTCGTCCGCGACGCGGGCCTCGCGGACGAGCGGGCCCGCGCGGCGAAGGCGAAGGCGAAGGCGAGGGCGGACGAGGAGACGCGCGCGGCGGACGCCGCGAAACGCCGGGAGGCCGCGGAGGCGCGGGCGCGCGCGGACGCGGCGCGGCTCCTCGCGGAGGACCGGGACCGCGCCGCGGCCGTCGCCGCGGCGGCCATCGAGGCCGCGAAGGACCGGCGGCGGAGGGACCCGCGGACCGTGGAGTCGCGCGTCGCGGGGTTCCGCGAGAAGAAGGGGCGCCTGAACCTGGGCGGCCTGGGCCTTTTGCGCCTCGACGCGGCGGCCTACGCGTCCCTCGACGCGGCGAAGATCACGTCCGTGACGCTCGAGAAGAACAAGCTCGGCGACTGGCCCGCGGAAGAGCTCGCGGCGCTGCCGAATGTGGCGTCGGTCAACGCCTGCCACAACCGGCTCCGCGCCGCGGGCGCCGTCGCCGGGCTCCGCCAGCTGCTCCTCGACGACAACGCGCTCGACGCGCTGCCCTGGCGGGCCCTCGCGGCGGCCTGCGCGCGGACGCTGAAGATGCTCCACGCGAGCCGCAACCGGATCCGCGAGCTGCCCGCCGAGGCCGGCGCCCTGCTCCGCCTCGAGAGCCTCAAGCTCGAGGCCAACGCGCTCCACGGGGACCTGTGCGACTTTTCGGCCCTCGAAGCGCTCGCGGCGCGCGGCCGGCTCCGGCGCCTCGACCTCCGCCGCAACGACCTGCTGGCTGTCGAGGACCTCGAGCCCCACGCCGCCGCCGTGCACCGGGCCACGGTGTCCGGCGACCTCCCGACGGTCGCCCGGGAGCGCACGACGATCCAGCGCGCGCTCACCGTCAAGTCCCGCGTCCGCCGGCGCCTCGGCGACGACGCGTCCCGCGCGTCCGACGCGTCCTACCAGGGCGATTTCGACGCGCTCCCGACGCTCGCGCCGACGAGGGCCTCGAAGCCCACGCGCCTGCCGCGGATGGGGCGCAAGTACGTGGGGTAAACTTGGCTCTGGCGTTTTGGTTGAACCGACAAGTGAACCGACATTGATCTCTCGCGCACGATGGGCTTGCTCGAGCACCTGCGCATGCGACGGTAATGGGGTCGCGCACGTACATCGCGCTGCTGGGCGCGGCGGCGATCGTCATCCTGCTGCAGTCGTGGTCGCTGTCGTCGCACGTGCACCACCTCAACAAGCCCGAGCGGCCGGCGCCGGTGGCCGCGGCGCCGCCGCCGCGGCCGCCGCCCGCCGAGGCGCCGCGGCCGGCGGCGGCCGCCGCGGACAACTCGAACCTCTTCGCGAGCCTGCGGTCCGACGACGCCGCGGCGGCGCCGCGGTCGCCGCCGCCGCCGCCGCCGCCGCCGCCGCCGCCGCCGCCCGCGGAGGCGCCGGTCCCGCGAGCGGACGCGCCCCTCTTCCGCGCCAACGCGCCCGGGGACGAGGCGGAGACCTGCGCGACGGGCGTCGTCGCGCTCACGTACGCGAGCCACCGCGGCAAGGACGAGCGCTTCTGCCGGAGCGTCGAGTCCGCGGTGCGCAACGGCGTCGATCTGCGGGTTTTGGGCTGGGGCGTCGAGTGGGAGGGCCTGTCCCAGAAGCTCGCGGCGGCCCTCGCGGCCGTCCTCGCGCTGCCCGCGGACTGCGTCGTGCTCTTCACGGACGCCTACGACGTGCTCTTCGCCGCGTCGGGCGCGAGGATGCGGCG